AATTTAGGATCATTTGATGGAATCTGTAGGTGGGAGGTGGGTTTTGTTTAGGGGAGGGGATGGCCTGGGCTCCTGACCAGGTTGCACAGACTTGGTTTGGCTCTGGCCCTTCTGGGTGTTCATTGGAGCGTGTATTGGGGTGGCTCTTGAACATGGTGAACAGCGTGATTGCTGCGTTTTCTCCTCAGGTGCGGGAGTATGAGTTGCGGAAAAATAACTTCTCAGATACTGGGAACTTCGGCTTTGGGATTCAAGAACACATTGACCTGGGCATCAAATATGACCCAAGCATTGGGATCTATGGCCTGGACTTCTATGTGGTATGGCTCCTTACCCTTTCCCCAGCTGCCTGGCGGGGGGCTTCTGCTCCTCTCGGTTGGGATGTTGCTGTGCCTTGTGTCTTGTCTGCTCTTATGTCCCTCTTGTGAGGAAGGGCCTTTTTTTTTTTTTTTTGTGGCAAGTGTAGAAGTTCAGCACCACACAACACAGCCTGGTCCCTGCCATTGTGAAGCTTTCTGGACCGTGGGACTGTGCTGCGTCTGGCTTGGAGTTGGCTAGACTGTGGCGGCCCTGTCTTCTCCAGTCTTCCCCTAAGGCTTATGAATTCCATGCAGAAGGCATAGAAATAGGAGTGGGCTCAGGTAGGGGTTTTCATGTGGCGATGGCTTTGCTGCCACAGAGTTTTTCTTTCATAAGAGTAAAGAGGCAGAAGTGAAAGTGAGAGGCCCTGGTACCTAAAACGCAGACACCTAGACATCCGTGAGGGTGAGAACTCCAGAGGTTAGAGCCACAGAGCTTTGGGGAGTGTTCTGAGCAAAGGGGGTGAATGTGTTTTTCCATGCTTTGTAGCACTTAAATGCTTCCCCATTGTACATGTTACAGGTTTTAAGGCAAAGTCCTTGGTTTGTAGCCCAAGCAGGTCCTGAGCTCCATCTAAATCTCCTGTTTGTTAAGATTCTGGGATCTACTGGCACACAGCTGGGTTTATTGTCTTGACCCACGCCAACACATCAAAATTTATTTTTATGTGTATGGATGTTTCTACCTGTATACATGTGGGTGCCTGTGGAGGGCAGGGCAATCATAGCCTCCTAGAGACTGGAGTTTACAAGGTGGGAAGCAGTTGTGGATCCTCAACACACTTGGCAAGGGGTGGGGAAGGAGAAAGGGGTGAAGGTTCCAGCCTGCCGAGCATACATGTGTAGTGTAGTGTTGTCCAGAAGCTAAGGGCGGTTCTGCCGACTCGGGTGTCCAAGTCCAGTAAGTTTTTAGACACTTTGAAGATGGGTGTCTAGTATGTGTGTCTTGTCCATCTTCAGTTGACCCTAAACTGGCTAGGTGACTGTTGGTTGTTCTGGCACAGGTGCTGGGCAGGCCAGGTTTCAGCATCGCAGACAAGAAGCGCAGGACAGGCTGCATTGGGGCCAAACACAGAATCAGCAAAGAGGAAGCCATGCGCTGGTTCCAGCAGAAGGTAAAGCTGATTTATCTCAGTGAACTGGTGGTGGTGGTGACTGTTACTGGGATTGAAGGCTATGAAATACAGTGCTGTTTGGTGGGTAGCTTGTTTTAAAGATAGAATATTGGGCGGTTTGTTAAATGATTCCCAGGGTTGGTGGATGAAAGGAAGGCCCAGGTCTGAGTATAGCCGGAATCAGAATTTTCAAACGTTAGTCTATGCTGTCGTTCTTGCTGTTGCCTCCTGTTCTGAAAAATACAATCTCTTCTTTTTCAGTACGATGGGATCATCCTTCCTGGCAAATAAATTTTATCCAAAAGGCCAATAAAATTTTTCTCAGAAATGCATGTTACTGTTGTGTGTTTGTGAAAGGAGTCTGACCACATTCAAATCCTGGGATCTCAAGTGCTTAAGCCTCAAGGAGAATTGCTGTTGGCATCCTGGACTCCATTGTTTCCCTGAGGCTCACAGCCGACCACTGTGCTTGTGTGTCCTGTGGGTGGGCTGTGACCTGGGTTAGATGGGTTTTGAGAGGTATGTGGGGGGTGGGGTTTGGATTTAGTTGTAATTAAAGGATAGCACCTCATGTCCCAGTGAGCATCCCTCGTTGGTGACTTAAGCTTCTGGTGTGGTGCTGAAAACTAAATTTTGAATTCAGAATTAAGTTGCTATTAAAATGAGAGGGTTTGGCATCTGGAGGAAAGTCTCGTGGGCCAATTGTCTGATTTCATATCCTAGTCCTCCTTTATTAGCATTGTTTTCTCCACAGAAGCAGCAATCCTTAGGACACTGCTAGGCACGTAAGTACAAAAAAAAGAATTTGTGTTGTGTGTGGAACTTGAAAAGTTGGCTGGCATTTGGTTTAAAGACATCTGTAACCCCTGGGCAGTGGTGGCACACACCTCTAATCCCAGTACTCAGGAGGCAAAGGCAGGCGGATCTCTGAGTTCAAGGCCAGACTCTTAAGAGCTAGTTCCGGGACAGGCTCCAAAACCTCAGTGCAGTGAAACCCTGTCTGGAAAAATGGAATATTCTTCCCCCCTGATCAGAGGCTGTTGGTGGATGGGGACAGTGGGTGGAGGGCCCAAGTTCAATACCCATAATATTCACATCAAAAACCAAATGGACAAAAAACTCAGTGATCCTCCACCATACCCTATTCTTAAACCCCCTCAAAGGGTTTCTCGGTGTAGCCTTGGAGCCTGTCCTGGAACTTGCCATATTGACCAAGCTGCCTCCTGAGTGATGGGATTAAAGGTGTGTGCCAACCATGCCTAGCTTTAGATTTTTTTTTTTTTAAGGTGCATGGGTGTTTTGTTTACATGTAGGTCTGTACCAGTGTATGCTTGGTGCCAGTAGAGAACAGAATAGGGCATGTGGTATCTGAGAAACAGAATTGCAGTTAATGTTGTGAGGTGCTGCATAGATGCTGGGAGTTGAACCCCAATTCTCTGCAAAAATAGCAAGTGCTCTTTTTAACTCAATCCTCTTGGGTGAGCAAGTGTGATTGATGGCTTATGAGCCCATAGAAAGCTTGTGTTCTGAGACAGAGTTAAGTCCTAGCTGTGGTCTCCCGTTAACCAGAGTGGCTTGGAACTTGCAGTGTGACTGAGTAGGACCTCCACCTCCTTGGTGCTGGTATTTAAGTGCACCACATCCAGTTTTCAGTGTATACCAGGCAAGCATTCTGCCGGCTGAGCCACATCTGCAGCCTCACAGCTACCCTTGGAAACCACTAGCTTGGGATGAGCTGTCATAGGAGCCTGTTTTGTAGAGGTGGCACACAGTAACTTTAAAATATTCTAGAAGCAAGGAAGTTCAGGCCCTGCTACCTTTTGTTCAGTGTCTTTCCCTTGATGTTTGTATTGAAGGGAGGATTGATATACAGAATGACGGGTTTGTTTTTGGTTTTAGAGGGTGTCACTCTGTAGCCCTTGGCTGGCTGGATCTCACTATAGATGGACAGTTGAAGTTGGGTCTGACTTTGACTCCCTAGTGCAGGCACCATCTCGTGTGACGAGTGACAGTTTTTACTGTGCCGCTTCTACAAGTCTGTTAGGCTTTGCCCATGCTCATCTATGTTCAGGTTTGTGTGTGCTGTAGTTTTAGATCTGTGTTCAATGTATTAACTTGATTTTAACAATGTGAGTGTGCTGCCCTGTGTTGGGTCCTGACATATTTTGTACGGTTGAGCTGGGTTTACATTTGTCTTTTTTAATTTATTTATTTATTGAAGATTTCTGTCTCTTCCCCGCCACTGCCTCCCATTTCCCTCCCCCTTCCCCAAAAAAGTCCCCCTCCCTCGTCAGCCCAAAGATCAGTCAGGGTCCCTACCCTGTGGGAAGTCCAAGGACCACCCACCTCCATCCAGGTCTAGTAAGGTGAGCATCCAAGCTGCCTAGGCTCCCACAAAGCCAATAAG